TAAGTTTAGATCAAAACACTGGCCTACCGCTCGTTATTATGAAATGCTAATCACTCAGCTATTGCAACCGTCAATACTAATAGAATATTAATACATATTTTCCATGACCATAAGTGTGTATGATTTCATAAATTATTTTTTTAATAATTATATTGTAATTACATATATTCACTTTAATTATCACTGTTTCAATCAATTATAAGAAATAACTTTATGCACGTCTTAGGTAATTTTGTTTTGTTCTAAGAAAATTCGAAATCGAACACAGTGCCATATTAGGACACGTTATATACATATAAGTATATACATATTTTTAAATATATATATGCATTTATTAAGGGCTTTCTTGCATTTTATATAATATGTATGTACATAAAACCACACGCAAAACTAGAGATGAGTAATTTATGTATGTAGGTATTAATAATATAACTTGTAGGAGTTTATATGTAACTATATATGTATGTACGTATGTAATTAGTGATATCAGCTATTACTTTATAGTCCTTTGTGCCTGTGCTGGCGATAGTAAGGTCAATGCAGCCTTTTCCGTCGACGATAAATTCATATTCGATATATTTTCATTTAATTTCACATTATTATTATTCGCGCAATTGACACACAAAACTTCTTTAACATCCACTTTCACAGCTTGAGTAGACGCTTCGGTCTCAGTCACACCATCAACGACGGTATCTTCATGCACAACAATAATGGGTGCTGTTGTTGTGGTTTTCGTTTTTTCCAAGACCTCTGCTATCGCCAATTCCTCATCGGCCGGATCACCGATAGTGAAGCGTCGTCGCGTGGACTCAAACATTTTTGTGTAAAACCACTTAAAAAATTCCCAAAGCATACATATATTTATTATACTTTTAACAGAAGGTATTTTGCACTTTGCACGCGATACATAAAGTCTTTACAGGAGCACACAAAAACAAACACTAGAAAAATATAGTCCTTGCCAGCGCACAATGCAGAGTAAGCAATTATGTACACAATTCTATAATTTCGCGTTGCTCTAAAAGTAGGTGACAGCCGGTGAACACCTATAATAATCTACACTTCACGAAGTCGCAAGAGTAACTGACATCTTGTTGCCGCTATTACTGGTGTTTAATTTCGCTAAAAGCTCAAAAGTACACCCCAAGTGTAAATACATACTCGTATATATGTATGTATGTACGTTGATAAATAAGTGTTTATACGATAAATACGCGCTTCAACATAAAAATTCTCATCGTAAATAAATATTACTATTCGTTTTTTTTTATTTGATATTTACATATTAATATTATTTACACTACACAACGTGCGCGCCCATAGTTGTTGGCTACCCCCTCATTCAATCAGCTGTGTTGCGCACATATGTACATATAAATATAAACATATGTATATATATGCATAACACCATATGTTTCCACATATGTAAACGTAAAATTGTAAAAAAAACAACAACTTAGATTACTCGTAGTCACCTGTAGCCGCTAAATGTACGCAGTTTCGATATCGGCCGCGTCAAACCGGTCGCGGCTAAACTTATCCACCGCATTTTGATATTTTGTCGACCGTTGATTCATTTACATAATCAATTATTACGATAAACAGATAATGAATTTCAATAAAAAAAAGGAATTATGAACGGAAATTAATTCGTAATAGCACAACAAATAAAATGACAGCAAATAATAAAATATTGACAGCTCAGAGCTGAGAGACAGACACAATTGTCAAACGGCGGTGGTGGAAAGCACAATGTGTGTGTGTGTGTACGTAAAAGTGTATGCTCTCGCGCTATATTTCTGTTATGCTTCGCCGGCTTCTCGTACTCATTTCCCCCACCGCACAAGAACTTCCGCTCGCACTAATTGTATGTGAGCAATGTACTGTCGTTGGCCGCACGCTGTTTGCGCTTTAACCGGTAAATCTTTACATTTGCCACTGAGCATTCTCTTTTTATGCCATATTCTAACATATTTTGCTCTCAGCGGAGCATGGCTAATGCTCAAGGGTGTAAAAATATTTAGATTTTTAGTTATTTGTGCGTTGTTATCAGTTTTTGAATGATTACAACATTTTGAAAAATATTTATGTAAACATCATAAAAGTGTTGTACAACAAGGGGAAAAGTGATTTTAGCCATAATATAAACCACAAAATATATAATACCTATAATAGTTTATACGCCACTATACGTAGGTGATTGATGAGACATCGAGTTTATAATGCTGAAAAAACTGTAGAGTGCACGAAATATATACATTCATATGTATGTATGTAGGTAGGTGGCGCGTGCCACCCAAATGACGCATTATTAGCGGTTTTTTTGGCGAAATTCCTTCTCTAATATTGTATTTAAAGAGAATACCCTTTTTGTGTTGAAAATAAAAACAATTGATTGTTGTTGCAGTTCAAGTAGGAATATTAAAAAAGAATATTAAATATGAAATCAATCACGTACAGCGGTCAGCCAACATAAATTTAAGAGCAAAACCGTTGTTGATGCTAAAATTTTTCGAACCAAATTACTATGCTTGATGGGACTTGGAAGGAAATTAACAAGAAAAAATGTCTGTCTTCGATCATACTAAACTCTTTATACCTTACATGACCATAACAAATTTATTGTATTTCATTATAGAATTAAATATTAATATCCATAACTGAACATAGCGATTGCCGTTGTCCGTTGGCAATGTTTATCGGTACATATGTGAGTAGAAACGTTTTAAGAAGCTTTTTTGACATTTTTTTTAACTCATATCTCATATCTGAGCAACTTGATTGTACGGGAGCTATATGTTTTAGTGATCCGATCTGGCCAATTCCGACATAAGATCGATATAATAAAAAATTACTTCTGCTTAAAAAGTAAAGTTGAAATATCTTAAAAACTGAGAGAGTTCTTTACATACAAATAGACGCCCAGACGAACATGGCTAAATCAACTTAGCTCATCATACTGATCCGATCGGTATAAGTTATGGTGGGTCCATCTCTTGCTTTTCTGGTAATTCCATGCACAAAATCAGTTAAGTGCACGTTCGTTAAGTATACGCAGTGTGTTACTGAAAATCTCCTCAAATAGTTTAGTTCTATACATTTATATAGTTCGGTCGAATAGCTACAATGCTTTCGAGATTCCAATTTATTAATCGACTAATAATTTTTTTGGTTAATCAGGAATCTTAGTGAACTGTGCAACTGAGTATAAAAAAATAAATGCATTTGTGATTGGCCATGTACGAGAGGATTAACAAAAATTCGGTCAGTTGGTGACTTTAGATTTGTTTTTGTTAGATTTTTTGCAAATACTTTATTAGTCTTCGTTTCAAATTTTACTAAAATCGGCTAAAATCGAGGCAACGAAAGTTAACTGAGGATAGATCAGACGAAATTCCACCACCAACACAAACAGAATTTCGCCATGTGATTCTCTTTGGGGTTCGGCGTAAATTACAGGCAATACAAAAAATGTTCAGTAAATGCCAAATTGCACAGTCTTTAAATACTATTTCTACTAAGTGATCTCGAAGATTCCAGACTGGACATTTTTCCGTAGAGAAGGAGCCTTTAAAAGGTCGTCCAAAGTCTTCTACTGATGACATCACTGTAGCTCTGGTGAAGTACAAAATTGACGAAGACCCACGATTGAGGCAAGGCAAGATTGCTAAAGAATTGGGATTGAATGTCATGGCTGTATCGCGAATATTAAGTAATCATCTGTGCTATACGAAGAAATCTGCTCGATGGGTACCACGAAATTAAAATGAGACCCAAAAAAAGGCTCGAGTGCATTTTGCTCAATCTATGCAACAAAAATCAGCAGCACCCGACCTAAAATCGCTACCTGATATTCCACTGGCAAAGGGTCAGACGGTAACTGCGAAATGGTACACCGAAGTGAGCTTACCAAAAGTTTTCAAAAATTTGTTGGAAAGCAGGAAGAAAAAGAGTATTTGCGGCGCCACTTTTAACATCATGACTACGCGCCATCCCACGTTGCTGAATATTCCCCGGGTATAGCACCTTGTGATTTCTGGTTATTTCCAAAACTTAAAAAAATTGAAAAGAAAGGTGTTTACAACGAGAACCGTTTTAGAAAAGATGTCTTGATCCTTTTGAGTTCAATATAGACCACGTCATATGTGATCTCATTCAGTTATCTAGTTTTTGCTTCTTCACTAAGGCCAGTCATACTTTTCGGTGGACAAAGATATGCCTAGATTTGAGCAGACACTTGACGGCTTACATAATTGCGAAGAGTTTTGCTTGGACTAGTTGATCCCATGCCCATATTTATTGAGAGTGGACTTTAAAGTCCACTTTTTGTCAAGCTGTGAGCCATCCATTATGATGATTACGGCTATCTGATATAGGGCATTGCAGTTTGGGACTCTTGAGGAAAAGAGATTGTCGAAGTACACGCCGAAGAGGTGTAATCCATTTCCTTAGACAATTTTACTATATAGTAATTCTTCCATGTCGCTTCTTCGTAATATGTCGCTTGTAAAATACCATACAGGTTCAGTGTATGGCAAATGAGGAGAGTTAAGGGTTTGAGAGGATCGACGGCAGTACCTGAAAACGCACAACTGCGAGGTCTTACCACAACTGCAGTATTCTCCAGACCTTACTCCTTCTGACTACTGGCTTTATCAACGGATATAAAATGATTTGGGGGATAACCGGTTCGCGTCATTTGAAAAAATGGAAAAACGTCACATTCATTTGATCGAGGACGGAGAACAATCTGAGAGATGGTATCCGAGAGTTACCAGTGAGATGGGGAAAACCGATAATGTTCTTAATGATGTCTTTTGTTTTTTTTTTTTACTTTTTTTCTTTTATAAAAAAACACTTTTTCGAACACAAAACAGTACCGAATTAAGTTGTAAGGTTACATATAAACATATTTTAATCTTAAAATCTTTTAATAAACCACTTTATGAAAATTTAAGAATAAAATAAAAAGAAAAAGAAGAAAATTAAGCACATACCTCAAACGTTTGCGACGTTCCATCAGATCATGTTGTGGACGCATTTCATTTTGCATTTTTTGTGGAAATTCATCGCTGGCTTCACTAACTTCATCATGTCCGTTAGCTTCGACTTCGTCTCCAACCTAACAAAAAACGAGATATATAAAAATGTCAATACTGAATTGTATATATGTAAATAGAGATTTTTTTGGTTATTCGTAAATATTTGCATAAAGTACAGAAGCTAAAAAATACACAGCTGTGTCGTCGCTTTTAATGCAAATAAAATATTTTGAAATAACTGTAAAGAAAATACGAGCAACTATAATGTTGACATACATATAAACGATGTAAAGAAAAATCCAGCAGTTCATTAGAGCCAAGCTGCTGGGAAGGAGTGAGAAAGTTAAGATTTACTCTCCAAGCGGAAGGGTAGTTCTTTTAAAATAAAATATATAAATTTACAATTTGCTTCTAAAGATCACCGAAAACGACACGAAGTGGACATCTTGTTGTGTAAGTACATATGTCTATACATAAATATTCCTTCGTTCTGATTTTTCTTTCGCTGTTAACCCGCTTGATGAAAGCATTTATACTTCATACATGTGCTTTTTATTTCAGGGTAATTTAACATTTACAATTCATTTGTTTGAATTTTACAATCGTTTGCCGTGTTAATTAAAACAACAAAGCAAATGAAAAATTCTTGAAAAGGTGCACTTTGTTCGCGTTGCTATTTGTTGTAGCAACTTTTTGTCATTAAACTTAGCTCAACTCGATGAAATTATCGAGCTTGAACTTTGTTTCACATACGCCCTGTCCCACCTGTTGACCACAAATACATACTATAATATATTATATAGGCTTGTGTTACATTTGTAAGTGTACTTACATACATAGTATACACGTAAGACACTCGAAATTACAATTCTATAGACGATTGCTACTTAATTATCCATAATTTGCATGTATTTGCCAGCCATGGATGGTATAAGTGATTATAAAATATACAAATGTATTTGAACAAAGTGTACAAAATGGAATCGTAAAATAAAATTCCAAATTAAAAAAAAAATCAATTCTCTGTATGCACTTCGCAAACTACATGTATGCAACCATATGTCGGCATTAGCATCGAGGTGCCTGTCTATTCTAGGACATGATAGCTGAGAAATAGGTTTACATATCAATGGAGTGCGAAGCTGTGGCAAGAAAAAGGCCACAATCCTTTAAGATTGTTAGGCTTTTTGATTGCACGACGTAATGTTATACAAAATTTGAGAACACATTAGATCAATTGCAGTCGCGGTGCATATCCTCCTTCTGTCTTACTATATCATTATCTGTCTTCTAGGGAAGATCTTAAGAAAATATAAACTATTTGAGTTCTACAGAATAATGACCTGAAAAAGCAAAAGAGCGGTTAATTTTATAAGAAAAAAATCTCTTAGCGTCAAGTCCATTATTATGATACTGAATTTCCCGGCACAGCTCGATACGCAGGAGGATGGAGGGCAAAATAGACCGCATAACCCTACAGATCATTTAGCAAAGAAGGTTCCAGGCTACGATTTAAGGTGTGTAGATGGCGCAGGAACGTACGCGGATGGATTAAAAAATGGCTGATGGGTAGGGCGCCTTAGTCTAATGCGTTGAGTTAGACCACAAGCAGTCCCTCAAACGTCCAGAACACTACAGTATTTTCCATGCAGAGGTTTTCGTTATAGGAAATTTGCTGAAATAACTAGTAGAGCAAGAAACTATTTTTTTTTAAATATGAACATACACATATGTTGGCAGTCAGCCGGCATTGCCCTCACATGGTATTGCGTTAGAATAAGCACCTACACAGTGTGGTCAGAGTATACGGCTGCATATATACTGGCTTGCAGGCCACAAGGGCACAATGGGTAAAGAAACAACAGATGAGATGGCCAAGAGTGTCAGCAGTCTTGCTACCGAACCAAAACAGGAAAAACAAAAAACGATATAGAATGAAATTTCCTAAAGAGCTGGTTACCGGTTTATATTGAGATATATATAATTGGAGCTCTGTAATCGCTGAAGCGATGTTCGGAAGAGCTTCTCCTTCTCTTTGATGGTTTCCAACAAAGGGAGGGACCTACAATTTATTATAAGCCGCCTCCAAACGCGTGAAGAATTTTTATAAGGAGCTTTGAATTTCATGTCAGAAATACGCTCGGTGGGCTTGACATTCCCTACCAAGGGGTGACCGCAATTAGAAAAATTAGTTTTCTATAATTTTAGATGTCGCTCGAACAAGAACTCAAACCCTGACCTTCAGAATGACAGTACGCAATGCTAACCACACTCGGCTATTGCGGCTGCCAATGGAATGCATTAGCGATATGTAAAACCACCAAGATCATATTCAATTGGTAGTAAAAGGGACATCATTTTCTTGCTAACACGCCCACGTAAGAACTGCAAAACAGTAGTTGGCCTAATAACAGGCCGCAACCTATTGGCAACCCGTGCAAGCAGAACTTGCATTATGAGGATCGCCACATGTAGTAAGTGCTAGAAGGAAGGCATGAGTGAGACGCTGGGACACCTTCTCTGGTTCTAGTCGGCTTTAGCTAGAACTCGTTAAAGATGGCGCGGAGCTTCAAAGTACTAGAGGTGGCTTTAAAGTTAGATTGTAAGGCTCTCTTGAATTTCGCGGAAAGCGTTGTTGTGCTATACAACGACTATTTGAAATCACAATTAAACGGAGCTGCTTATGGTACTACAAAGGGTCTATGTAAGGCGCTACAGCTAGCCCGTGTAACTTCAGCTTACTAACCCAACCGAATCGGTTAAAATCTAATGAATAGCAACTCCAAATCTTCCTTAAATCTGAATTCCTTAATATCTAGGCTTCTCAAGCTCTTCTAAGTCTGTATTTTACGTACAGGAACTATTGCGCGGTCTGTATCTCGCTGTAATCCAACAAAATCTCAACAACGGTGACAGCACAGGGTTTGCTTTTGATTCTACGAAATCTATGAAAAGACATAAATTAAAGTATTTTAATTTAATTTTAAGTAATAAACCAACATACTTTTGAAACCGCTACGCATAAACATTCAGATAATCGTAAAATAAATATACATATATGTATGTGCATGCATGTACTTCAGAACTTACTAAAAAGCTGGGACGCTCCGCTGCTGCATCGTTACTCATACCGATTTCACTGTTATTACTGCTGTCACTATTATTGCTACTTAAATCAACGTTATTACTATTGTACTGATGGTTTTGGTGTTGATGATGATCGTTGAGTTGGATGCTTGCATCAATATCGTTATGATGATGATTCTCCTCTATTGTTATATTCTCATTCGAAAATTGTACTTTCTTAATGCGGCTCACACAATCACTGTTATTACTATTGCTGGGGTTTTGGTTCGGTTCTATTTGCGGCTCACCAGATGTTTTGTTATCTGTAAACAAAGAAAAAAAGAATAAGAACGAAGAAAAAAATTACATTTATGTAATTATTCAATTTTATGCGTAATAAAGTTATTCATTGATATGTATGTAGGTACTTTGTATGCTCGCCGGCTGATTGCTATTACTATGTATGAGTCGTTGCTGATGCGTACTACGATTACCGATGTTGTCCGAGTTCATAACCGCTGACAATAGTATTGCAGCGACAATACATAATGTTGTCAATATTACGATGATGATGATAAGCATTGAATATATATATATATATATAGATATAGATATATATATATCGCGCGATTTTCGTTTTCTTTTTAGTTTTTTTTTTCGTTTGCACTTCTTCTATGTTAGTAGTTTTCGTTTATTTAGTTTATTTTCTTTTATTATTTTTGTCGAGTGAAAAAAGTTAATGATGTGCGCAGCGTTTAAGCGCTCTGTGATTGATAAACGTCGAATGGCGGTAAAAACTGCAGCGGCTTAGCTAGAGAGCGGGTGTGCGTGCGCACTCACACAATTCGTGGTGTTGAGTTGGTGAAGGCAAATTCGCCAATCGTATGTGGAGCTTCAAATGCACTTTACAAAACAACTAAATGAAAACTAATGTACAAGCATATTTATATATTATATTTACATACATATGCATATTTCTAAGTGCATGTCCGTATATGCATTTGCGTTATGCAAAAACATTGAATTTCTAAGCGAACGCAGCTAGAATTAAAAGTGTATTTTCGTTGTTGTCGTATACATAGGTCTGTGTTGCAATAAATATTAAATATTTGTCGCCATTCACGGGCAATTTTTTTATTTGTATTTTTTAGGTACAATCAAAGAAAGGGTTGAATAAATGCCACAGAGAAAAACTCAAATTACAAGAAAAGCGAATGCCCAAATAAATTAGTAATAGTAAAATTCTTCAAAGTACATACGTACTGCTATGTATGTATGTAAACTTTACGGTCAAAAAATAGTAAAAAACTTTTTTATCTACATCAAAAGGCCAATAAAAGCTCAAAAGCAGATAAACAAAACGCACATATACATATTTATTTGTGTACATACATATGTATGTACTCTTGTACTCCTAAGTACATACATATTTACATGTATGAATTCTATTAGGTGCCGCTGTAATTGAGATAACTTTTAAGTTTAAAAATCAAAGCATATTAATATTTCTCATAATGCATTGTTGCATTAAAATTAAAAAAATATAAACATTGTATTAAAAAAAATTTAAATAACTTTAAAATAAATGCAAATTTATATTTTTATAATTTAATATATTTTTGAAATAAAAAGAAAAGATATAAACAATTTGTAAAATAAAAGTAGCTATTATAATTTTCGTAATTTATTATATTTTTAAAATTAAAATAAAAATATAAAAATGTATATATTATATAAAAGAAATTTAAAAATAAAAGCAAATTTATATGTTTTATAATTTATTATATTTATTTAGATTTAAAACAAAATATATCGATATATAAAAATCGAATTAAATCTATTTCCTTTGTAAATTGTTTTTTTTTTTTACTTAAATACATAAAACACAAAGGAATTCAAAAAAAAGCATATTTTTATTTTTCACATTTTATTAAATTGCTAATATTAAAAAAAAAGATTATTTAAAAATTATATACATTATATAAAAGAAACATAAGGAAATTTAAATATAAAAGCAAATTTATATTTTTCGTAATTTATTGTTTTTTTTTATTAAAAAAAAAATAAATTTAAATATACATACATTATATTAATATAAGAAAACTTAAAATTAAAAGCAAATTTATTTTTTATATTTAAATATACTTTTGAAATTAAAAGAAAAGATACAAACGATTTAAAAATGAAAACTATAATTTAAAATTTAAAAAATTAAAATGTTTAAATTATATAAAATAAATATACAGAAATTCAAAACATAAAAGCAAATTTCTTTTTTCATAATTTATTATATTTTGAAATAAATACATATATATATATAAATAAAAAAAAATGTATCGATCTATAGAAATCAAATCAAATTCATTTATTTCGTAACTTTTTACTATTTCTCTTCTAATTAAATAAATAAAATATAAAGAAAAAAATAATAATAAAAATAAAATCATATTTATTTTTTTATTACACTATTAAATTTCTAAAACTAAAAAAAAAACATTTAAATTAAAAATTAAAAAACTATATACATTTTATACCAAAAATATAAAGAAATTTAAAATTTAAAGCGAATTCATATTTTTAAAATTTAATATATTTTTGAAATTAAAAGAAAAGATACAACAATTTTAAAAATAAAATCAGTTTTATAATTACCTATATATTATATAAAAGAAATATAAAGAAATTTAAAAATTAAAGCATGTTTATATTTTTAATAATTTATAATACTTTTAAAATTAAAAAAAAAATTTAAAGTTTAAATTTATAAAGATAATATAAAAAGATTAAAAAAATAAAAAATTTTAAAATTTATCAGAATTTAATATATTTTAATTAAAAAAATATAGATAGAGTTAAATATATAAGAAAAACTATGTTCTTCTTAATAGTATAAATAATTAGTCATAATTCTACGCTTGAAAAAATTTAATTAGTAAAAATGATGGTAAAGTTAAATAAATTATGTGGGCTTTCATTACATTTATTTTTTAAATCATATTATACGTTCGAAACAAATTCGGAAAACTGCTATTTTAAGTTCAAGATTAACTACATTTAAAATCATGTAATTAGAAATAATTAATGGAGAGTTAATAATTAATACTGCCAACTTTTGAGGGGTAGCAATGCGGTTGGGTCAAAAGATAAAAGAAAAAATTTTATACACATGCGCAAAAAAATACGTAAATATTTGAAGCTATAGAAGCAAGAAAAAAGTTGACAATTTTTACTAAAAAAAAAAATAGTTATGAAAAATATAAAAAAATGTAAATAAATTCCAAGAAATAAAATACTCCAAAATTGAGCACCCTAATGCATGTTTGAAATAAATAAATGAGCATTTTAATTTGGTAAGCAAAAAAATAAAGCCGCTGACAACTTGAAAAAAGCGAAATTTTAAATATATGTTAATGCATACAAGCGAATCGTATAAAAGAAAAGAGTCGCACACACACAGCGACTGCAGTACATTTGAGGTAAAACAGCGTCCAACGGTCAACGGTGTGACCGCAAGTTAAATATCATATACACGTATACCTTCTTATGTGCGCATCTGCATAGCTGTATATATGATTTTTTTTTGCTTGTTTTATTTTACTTAATTTTTTTTTTCTTTTGTTAGTCAGGTCAATGTCTACAAATACATAATTTACTATGCAATTTTTTTATAAATATTAAAACCGGTGTAGTATTTTAAGCTATATTTAAGCGTTAATGAATGTAAAGTCTAAACTAATTAATAGCATGAAAAGAAAGTTAAGAAAAAAATAAATTGTTTAAAACTAAAAAACATTTAATCGAGTTCATTCACTGCAGAAACTAAATAATACATTTAAAAAACAATAAAATAAATTGCGTCGCTGTTAAAATGTTGTCATTAAGTAAAAAAAATATTTTTGAGGTTAGAAAATTTTTTTTTAAATTTAAAAACGAAAAATTATTTTTTATAGCAGATAATTTTTTAATTTTACAAAATTAGCAATTGCATTGAATTTTATAACTTCATTTTATAACTGTTATTTATTTTTAGTTTTAAATAATATATATAAATATATAATATATATATATATATATATATAAAGTATTTAGCAAAAAAATTTCAATTTGCCGATAAAGAAAACAATGTCACCTAAAACGTGTTCGTTTATAATACACTTTAATAAATGCACTAAAACAACAATAAATTGTAATATTTAAGATTAGAAATTAATCCAAATAAATAAATAATTTTGTATAAAAAAAAAACACTAAACAATAATTTCAATTTATTATCTCGAATAAAATCTGCATTTTTCCTTTTATTCAATTTAATTTAACATTGATATACCCTTCAAATAGTTACTGATAAGAAGGTGGGAATATGAACTCGCGTATGGAGTAAATGTTTTATGTACATAAATACATATATATAGAGAATAAGGCTGTTGTATGTCTTTTATGTACATACCTGCGATGGAAATAGTTTTATTTCCTAAGGAAGTGAATAGTTTTGTCTATACATGTATATATGTGCATACATAACGAAATTCCTTAATTAGTCGAGCTATTTCATTATTTTTCTTATTGCAATATTCAGAAATTTAAATTAAATAATATATTTTTAAATATTTAATAATTTCGTACTTTCGTATTTAAATGCATTCGTTAGTTTTCTTTAAATAAGAATAAAATGGAAATATTCATGAAAAACTATTACGCTAAATTGTCTTGAAAATTGTTGGGCAGGTCGTATGAGTGATTTGGAAAACATAGCCATTAACACATACATACATACATATATGAATTAGGAGTATTTTCCTACGCGAATGTACATACATATATATGTATATAGTTATCTAAGTCAATAATTTTGCTGCGAAGGTTCAATTTGCTTTACCATTTTCACATTAGAGTGCTTCCAAAGTGTTCCTCTGTAATGTTGCGGTGGACCAATTAACGCAAATGATTCGCTGAATATACATACATTTAATATATAACATATAAATGCATGTGTTATCTGCTACTATTGTTACATACATATGCAAATAAAGTTTTCTAATGAAAAATCCTTAAAATAGTTTTATCCTATGGAGCTTTTTTCGTAAAAAAAAAATGTTTCCAAAATTATTTTCTGTTGAATTGAAGATTTGAGAATAATTTCTAAAGCAATTTAATGGAGGTACTATATAAAGTACCGTTATGTAGAGCCCAATTTTATTGAATAGCCCTAGTAAATCTCAATGATAATATTTTAATTGGAGTTTAGTTGTTTTTGGAACACTCTTTGAGCCATGTGGAATAGATTTTATATATTCATTTATGTACATGAAATATTTTCCTACTTTTGTGAGGTTAGCACGTGAATAAAGTAGTATGTGTTAGATTACAAATGATCATACGACCGATAATCTATGCTTACTATACACGTAAAAACATAAATATGCAATAACTCTTTATTTATTCTACGCTGGAACAAGTTGTAAGGTGTGTAAAGAAAAAAAAAGAGAGTCAAGTTAAGTAAATCGCGAGTGTTTATTTATATGTTTTTTTTAATATTCAATAACAAAACTAATTAAGAAACAAATATTAATAATAAATAAAAA